AAAACCAAAACAATGACCCGAAAGACAATACAAAGCTGAGGGAAACTGCATGGACAGCTTAACTGTCATTAAGAGCAAACCCTTTCACATTACACATATTCATGATCCATTGCCCAAACTATTGATTATAGCCATCATGTTTAAGTATTAAAAGCTCAGTTATAAATGATTATTTTAAGCTAAGTAGATTATGTCATAATTTATTATTTATAGTTGTCTTAATTATTATAAGCTTAATTATAAGCTGCAAGCTGATAGTCCAGTGAGTCAGAGAGCTGGAATTACATTAAGCTGATCACGCTATGAACGCGCTGTGTAGTGGACTGAGCGGAATCTCGAGTTGGCACTCTTGTTTTGCCTAGAACCTGCCTGAAACTCTATCCCAAACTCCTTCTCTTGATCCTCTCATCTTCTTCTTTTGGTCATTTTTCCATCTCTATACAAAGAGACGCTATCCCTCATATACCAAAACATGACTTTCTTCTTTGTCAACTAAAAAAAACTAGCATGTTTTGTCATTGATTTCTCCCTACACTACCCCTTAAACCATGACTTACTCAGAAAACAGTGATAGGGGAACTTATCTCTTTCATGCATCTGCCCCTCTTGTTCCTCTTTTTCAGTTCAACCACTTTGTATTCCAATTTAGTAATAATAAGAGCAGGCTCTGTCACTGTGAGACTGCAGACAGTCCCTCTGTGTGTCCTACAGTAGCCTGAGATTTAAAAAAAACATGCATATTCCTTTGATTTCTGTGATGAGGACGTGGCTGACGCAGGATGGTGCAGTTTTTCCCCTTGGCAGCAGGAAAAATGTAACTGGCTCCTGCAGGCAAACACGGGCAGACTAACAAAACAAACACTAACACAGATACTCATTACAAGCATGCATAATATTTGCAAACACACAAACATACACAGGAGCGCACACTAAACGTACACAAATAAACACACATATTTTTAATACCTCCACTTACGGCTGCATGGTGTGAATATACATACATACGTGATCATGACACATGCTCACACACAATCAAACACACTGACATACACACAAAATACTTGTTTTCAAGGCAGATGATTTGTGCCAAGAGATGACAGGCAAGTGATGCAATGTGCTGATACAGAATCTATTCTGGGGGAGGTGTGCTCATTGCTCACATGCCACTACACGACAGCAAGTCCCTCAACAACAGTTTAAGGCAGACAAGAGCAATTACAAGACCATAGAGCTACTACATACAAGTTACATTACGGAGAGGTCTTGGTTGCTAAGCAAAGCAAAAAAAAGACACAGACGATAAAGTTATGTTGAAATAAGTCCCACAACCTGGAAATGAGTTAACATTTTTGCTCTTCCGGTTCCCTCGTTTTCCCCAGTCTATTTATGTTTTAGAATTCTCTTAATTTTAACAGTATGTTTGTTTGCGTATAGTGTGTATTTTTATTCCATGTTGGTGTTTGCGAATGTTCTTTTACTTCCCTTTATCTTTATTGTCACATTTTCCTTACAGGATACAATAAGACTAACCTTGACAAAATGCATTAACACAGGTCATACAGTGGTCATGTGCTAAGTAACAGGGATATGGCAGGCATAGGCTAATGTTTAGTGGGGCTGACCAAATTACTAACTGCTATGCAATGTAACATGACACACCTGTTGCACCAGGGTTTGCACGAGTGGCTTAGTGTAAAGATGGCTTCCATGAACAGACCACCCCAAAGCAATATTTCAATTTCACTTCTGAGCTACATCTCTTTGTGGCTGCTGTTTTTTCCCCCCTTCTCCTCCTCTTCTGGGACAGACATGAGGCACTAAACCTGGCAATATCATCTTTCAAAACACTGCTTAAATGTATTGTAAGCACATTACTGGACGGTAACTTGTTAAAGCTCTTCTGGCCAATATGCATTTATGGAATTCTGTTGTTCATGATTCAGTTTTTTTATTTTTTATTACCTGCTGTACAGGTTCAATTTAGTTTCTGTATTGAAATTTCTGCCAGTGTTTCTGTGCTCAACTCTTTTTAGTAGCCCACAACACTTTCTGTACCTTGTGCTATATGTTTCTATCACTAATCTATGGTCGTCCTCTCTCGTTCCTCTTTCTCTCTCACACATTCCTATTTGCGTCCATGTTGTAACCACTTGGAACCCAATCTCTCTAGACAGCCGCCTGTATTAAAAGGAACATTACTGTAAATTGCCAACACACACACACACACACACACACACAGGAGGAGAGACAGTTAAAGGACCAGTGAGTAGGATTACGTGGCATCTAGCGGTGTAGTTGCAGATTGCAAATCCCTTGCTTCACCCACAAAGGAGAAACTAGAGTGGCCGCGCAAAAATCCTGAACGCTCCTATCTAGAGCCAATGTTTGGTTTGTCCCTTCTAGGCTACTGTAGAAACATGGCTTTTCTACATGGCGGGCTCCATGGAAGGCAACGTGCAGTGTCTGTAGATGTGAAAGGCTCATTCCAAGGTAAGAAAAACATGACCATTCTTATTTTCAGGCGATTATACACTAATGAAAACAGTTATGTGTATTATATAGAATTTTGCCAATAGATCCTCCTAAATTATACACATAACTTGGTTTCAGTGGAGGAAAAATAAGTCTCAGTTTAGCTAAAATTCTGACATTAAGCTAATTTATGTCTTTATTGTAATGAGCCCCATTATTTCTGTAAAAATATTTCACAGAAAGTCACAGTGTACAGTAACAATCCAAATTTTGTTTAACAAGCACCTGTTTCAAATACTTCAACTTTCTAAACTAAAAGAAGAGTTTTAATTATGTCAGTTTAAAAAAGAAAAGATCCTCATATCTTATTTTTAGGGGTTGGCTCAATCCATGTCAGTACTCTTTAGACTTCTCTGGAAGTCTTTTGGAGTTCGGACAGTTTGTCCGTACCTAAATCGGTCCAAACTGCTCTCAGTCCAGCTACTTTGGTGCGAGGCCCATGCCACTACAGTCACCGGGTTGCTGAGTTCATGTGCTGAAGGCAAAGTGTGCTGTGCCCGGGCTGGCTGTACCCCAAATGTAACCCAGCCACTGAGTATTTGATCCACTTAACACCTGAACCCAGAAAATAAACCTGGAAACAGTTGATGCAGCTTTTCAAATTGACAGGAACCTGCAAATACTGCCTGAGTGGACACAATTACGGCATTTCTTTTCTCTACTACCAACGAGATCAAAGCAATAATCCAACAGGCTAAATTAGGGATGTAACGATGCATCGTGACACGATTAAAAATCGGTACAAATGCGTGACGATTCGCACCGGTTGACAGAAAAAAAATAATCGCAGAATGGCGGAGAGAAGTAGGATACGTTTCTTTTTTTTTGTTTGTTTTTTTTTAGAAATAGGTTACGTTATCTTAAAAAAAAAAGTCACTGGTTGGTGATTCATTTGTTCAACGTCAGACGTCAAGTCACGTGACTTACGTCACTACGTAGGTACGGGGCACAGAACGAGGGAAGACATGGCGACAGTAGGCAACAACTTTGAAATAGCGGTTTTAAATCACCTGTGTGGCGGCATTTTGGTTTCCCCATATACACAAATACAACCGGTGAGAAATGGACAGACAAAACCAAAACAGCATGTAAATATTGCAAGAGACTGCTAACATATACCGGCAA